TTAAAATTTAAATATATAAATTGAATAATATTCATTAATAATAAATATAAAATTATTTATAAAATATTTTAAAAACTTAAAATATTTTAATATCTAATGATTATAAAAAGTTAAAATAAATTTATTAGATTTATTATATTAAAATATATCTAATAATAATATTATAAATTTTTAAAATTAATAATTATCAATATATATCAAATTTAAAATAACTTATTATATATTAATTATTTAAAAATAAAATTTAATTTATTAAATATTTTTAAAATTGATAGATAACAGAATATATGGGTTTAAAAAATTTAATTTTTTTTAATAATAATTTATTATATATTTTATCTTTAAAAATCACTAGTTAATTACATTTTAATTTTAATTTTTTACTTAGAATACATTATAAAATTTAAATTTTTTAATAATATTTTAATTATTAAATAAAATTGCATGTAAATTTGTAAGTAAAACAATTAAAAGGATAATTCTAATATTTTAAGTAATAAATTTTAAACTCTTAAATTAAAATATTATTTTTTATTTATTTATTTAATTTTATTATTTAATATAACAAAAATTAATGTTTAAAACAATATAAAAATAAACTGAAATTTTTAATAATAAGTGATTTTCTTATTTTAAAAAAAAAAATTTAAATATTAATAAACACTAAATATAAGTTACTTAACTTTTATTTTATAATTAAGTATAATCTTGTATAATTTAATATATAAACTTATATTAAATAAACTTATATCAAATTTTCTTGTTATTACAATTATAATAAATAATAAAAAATTATTTTATCTTAAATATTTAAAAATAATAAAAATATTATAATAGATAACCTTTTTTAAAATAGATTAGATTTTTATTATTCTATAAATATCAAATCCTATTTATTGTCATATTCTGGGATTTCTTGTGGTTTTCATAGCAATCCATCCCGTGTTATAAGTATTAGTTTGGTTTTAGAATTTTATTTTACAAGTGATCCCTCGTGAACTTTTAATTATGGTATATCTACATTATATACAAATTTAGTTTTTTTAATATCCGAAAATAAAAAATAAATATTAATTGCCAAAATTGCAAATACGCTTTTTTCTCACATCATCCATAACATTGTATTCGGTTAAATAAACCGGTTAAACAATCAAATGATTGATGTTTTACTACCTCAAATAAGTAAGTTTCACAACGTTATCGTACAAATCGTTAATGTGATTAGTTTGATAAGGATGAACAAATTATTCAAACGAAAAAATGTGATTGATTAATTAAAAACGATCACCTATGATCCATTTGAAATCAATGATGATGAACTTGAACAGGACAGGAACAACTTGAACAAAATGATCTTCGAAACACTCACTATATGTATTAGATGACAATCGATTTATTAAAATAAAGCAACTCATTTCGAGTTTCAAAATCTCGAATTTGTGATATATCACGCGAAGTCTTGTGATTGTACAAAATGTATTACTGCATAGAAAAAAAAATTTTTTAATGCATCTGATTCTGATTATGGGTGACTTTTTTGGGGTTGGCTTAATATTAAAGAAACTAATTTCAATGCAAATTGATTTGATATTGGTAACCTTTGAAAGAAATTAAAAACATGGCTTCATTATCATATGCTTTTTATTTTGAAATTCTGGTTATATAAATACAAAAATCTTTTTTTTGAAAGAAAATGAAAAAAAAATAAAGAAAAAATTTTTTTCATGCTAATCACCACCAAAAAAAATTTTCAAATTCGTGGGAAGATCGCATTGTGCATCAATGGTAACACAGTGTCAGGACGCAAAAAAAAAGTGAAATCATAGTTAATGACTCATGACAAAAATGATGTAGAGGGATAACACTTAAGAGACAAGTCTCTAGGATCACATTTAAATACTCATTACATATGACCGAAAGCCCAACAAAATGATAATATTTTTTGAATTGTTCGTTTTTGGCTGTGCTTAGGAGGCGGTAATTTGACAGCCTTGTGACTTTCCCGAGTTTAATTCTGCAACTAATATAGGCCTATATAAGGTTGATCCGGTTGTTCCCACGCAAAAATCGAGGAGTATCAAACAAATAAATATAATACACAAATTCTTAATCTATATTTATACTAGCCTAAAAATTTTTTTTTTTTGGTGTTACATTTTCATGTGTTTATATATAAAGCATCTCTTTTTTTTTTTAGAATCATTTTTTTACAAATCATTTTTTTCGATTTATTAACCTTCTAAAATGACAACTTACAAATTCCTTAAGAACAAAAGTGTTGGCATCATTGGGTGTCCCTTTAGTGGTGGCCAGGCAAGTATTGAATACATCGAGTCAATTATTCGTTATACGAAGCTCTAATAGCAATCTTCAATAAATAGCCTAAAGAAGGTGTTGATGAAGGTCCAAACAAATTGATTGATTATGGATTGATAGAGCAACTAGAAGAATTGGAATGGAACGTTGAATTTGATGGGCATCACAAACTAACTGAACTTCGTCCAGCCGAAGACCCAAACATAGGGAAGCTAAAGAAACCTCGCTACGTTTCAAGAGTAACTGAAGCCGTATCTAAGGCTGTTGAGTCACATCTTAAAAGAGGACAGTTGGCGTTAACACTTGGTGGTGATCATAGCCTCGCTTTAGGCACTGTGGTAGGAACTTTATCAGTTCACCCAGAAGCTTGTCTTATTTGGATTGATGCGCACGCAGTAAGTTTACCCTTCATTAAAATGTATTTAAATGTGTTTACCATGTTTAATAAATAAAATGCTTTACGAATTTTAGGATATTAATACCCCAGAAACTACAGAATCTGGTAATTTGCATGGTTGTCCGGTATCATTTTTGTTAGGCATTGCAGGAAAAGTCCCAGGGTTCGAATGGGTCAAACCATTTCTCAAGCCAGATCGACTTGTTTATATTGGACTTCGAGATGTGGATCGACCAGAGAAAAAAATTTTAAAACAATTGGGAATCAAGGCATACTCGATGCATGAGGTTGATAAATATGGAATTGGTAAAGTTGTAGAAATGGCACTTGATTCAGTAAATCCAAAAAGGGATCGCCCGATTCATTTAAGTTTTGATGTTGACGGCCTTGATCCAACCGTTGCTCCGAGTACAGGTAATTTTCATTACTTTGAAAAATTATTATAATTATAAAATTCGACCTGTAGCTTATCTCTCGTTGATTAGGTACTCCTGTTCGTGGTGGTTTGACCTTTCGAGAAGGACATTATATCTGCGAAGCTATTCATAATACAGGATGTCTTGTTTCCGTTGATATCATGGTAAATATTCTAATTCTTTAAATTCTTTATCATCGTAATTCAATTCTTAATTTACGATGTATTATCGTCTCGATGATGTAGGAAGTAAATGTAAATCCCCTTCTTTTCGATGAAGCAAGCGTATTTGAAACTGTAACAATCGGATGTTCATTAATTCGATGTTGTTTAGGTAAACAAATTGTGTTTTTATTCGGTTCATTTGAAAATTTTGTCACGTTTATTTTTTTTTAAAAAAAAATTCTCCATTTTTTTATAATTATAATAGGTGAAACTTTACTGTAATGGGATTTGCGTAACGTAATATTCCTTCCAATTCCTGATCTTTTTTTTTTTGTTAGTAAATGTTAAAACTTATATAGAGTAATGTTTTTTTAAAACTTCTTAAATCTAATGGATGAACTCTCATCAAATAACACCGCAACCAATTTTCAATAATGAATTACAGTTCATTCATTCATTTTTTTTTTTTTTTTTTTTTTTGTAAAAAAATAACGCAATTTTTTGTAATCTGGAAATGATATAGAATTTGATAATCTGTCTTTACAAGTTTAGATTCTTAAAAAAAAAAAATGATTTTGGGATAATCTTTAAACGTAAAAGATTTTATATAATCCATCATCGAATACCCCCTAATAAAGCTTTCTTTGATTTTCACTCTAATTTGATATTTAAGCGTGAAACAAAGGATGCAATGTTCGGGAGATTTTTTATTTAAATTTATAAAAAATATATATTTAATTATTTAATAAAATAATTTGATACGTTTATTTAAACATTCACAATCTTCTTCCCCAAGAGATACATACCCATTCATTTTTCAAATAAAATCAAAATTATCAAAATTGATAACAATTATGATGATCAAATCAATATGCTAGAATTACTTATTTTTTTTTAAAAAAAAAATATATATATAATTCGGGCTTTTTCGCGGTCATGATTGCTGCGAATACTTCGTAAGAATATACGAAGGTTTAGAAATCATGATCATGCGTAATTTTCCTACTATACATGATTTTTCAATTGACAAGGGTATTAAAATCCATAACCAAAACTGTGAAGTCATATTTTAAAAGTAGGGAGTCATCAATTATTATAAATTTTTTATAGAATTATTCAAAAATTCCCTAAACTAAAGTGATGGAAAGAAGTTTAGGAAATCTATTAGTAGAAAGTCTTCTAATTTTTAGTTTTTTTGAAGCTATGATAAATTAGATAAATTAGGAATTAATATATTTTATGTAAATAGTCACATTATTTAGTTGCGCAATCGGACATGAATAGCATGTGAAAAAAAATATATACCTGTAGATTTATTTATTTGGATTTTTTTTTTTGTTGAAAGTACTATTTATTTACAAAAGCAAATTTCCATCTTAAAAGGTAAATAACTCAAAGATTGACAACAACCATTTAATCTTGGCTGGGATCAAAAATTAATGCGGGTCAAAATTTGTAAATTAAATTTATTAGTCTTTGAGAATTATAAAATGGGTTGATTGCTAGGAAAATCAGGTTCCGAGAAATTTTGACTAAAATTAAACGCATTTTTGTTAAAAAATTCCCGGAACCTGATTTTCCTAGCAATCAACACAAATTTAAATTTAATTTCGTTTTAAAAAGATTAACATTATTAATATTCATTTTATTTTTTAACGATGATAATACTTTTTTTTTTTTTTTTTAAAAAAAAAAAAATAATAATAATTAGGTATATAGCTCTTCAACTTCTGTATTAAATTCAACTTCTTCTATATGAGTCTCATCGCGTAAATTCTCAACAGCGTCCAAACTAACTTGATCACAACCAAAAATATTTAAAAATTTTAAATTTTCACCACCCAAATGTCGTATTTTGATTAATGTTTCTTCATTGACAGACTTGGAATTACAAATTGATAAACTTGTTAATGATTGGCACCCTCGAATCAATTTTTCAAAAGATTCTAAAGTGAAGTTGAAGTAATCTATGTTCAAAATTTCCAAATTAGGACAATGATCCCCAATAGTCGAAATTATAATCGATGCATCATAGGAAATCATAAACCTTGATTCGATTTCTAATCTAGTTAAAGTACTTCCAATCGAACCTAATAAATAAATTATCGAATTCATTTCTCGTGGAAGGATATCTCTTTCAAAATGATGAATATTTTTGGCATAAGATCCTAAAGCATTGATCCCACTAGATAAATCATACAATTCATCATCCACTTGACTCTCGGGTCCTATAAGATAAACTCTACGTAAAGTTGTTGAAGACTTCTTCGCGATTTCAACCAAAACATCAGCCGGTAGGTAAGTATTAGAAAAATCAACGTTGTGAAATTCACAATTTGTCGCCAATGGCATTAAAAGGGTTGAAGGAGATACATTCCTAGGCCAATCAATAATCTTTCTCATATAAATCGAACGAAGTTTTGAGCAAGCTGCGATACCGTTAAAAGGTGTATTACAACTTTTAAGATTACAACTAAGAATTCGAAGTTTAACCAATGATGATGATTGAGTTTCAAGTGCTTCCAAGGTTAAATTGATCTTTTCCGCATTACGTATTTTGAGCTTTGTTAAACTTCTTTGTGTTCTTATAAAATTTTCCAATGCTTCATCCGAACATTTTTGCGCTGAAATCTTAAAGGTTTTAAGTTTATCGCACTTTCCGGTTATCCCAATCAGCCCATCAGAATCGCATTGAAAAAATCCGAAATTCAAATATTTTAAATCTACCATATGACCTCGATTTATAAGTCGATCCAATTGATCTGATGTTACAGGATATTTGTTATCCTCTGTTGATTCCGCAAAGGTACATTCTTGAATACGAGCTCTAACAACAAATAATTCGAAAATTCTCAGAAATAAATGATAAATTGACTGATCGTTTTCTTCTCTTTCATCTTCATGATAAAAATTATACCATAATGATATACATTGATATAATGAAGGGATATGTAAATTTTTCGCAAATGCGATATAATCATATAAAGGAAGTCGTTGATTATTCCCGTTATTTGGACCTTCAATACGAATTCTCGTTTGAGGCCTTCCTTCTTCATCTTCTCTTTCCATTTCATGCGAAGAAGTGTCGACCGCATCGTAACACATCATATATGTATCGATTAATTTTCTGGCAGTGTCGTAATCCTTTGACCGATACAACCAATACTTCCATGGATCCGCATATAGAAAGCTATCCGCAATAGTTCTCCACTTTTTTTTTTTTTTAAAAAAAAAAGAAAACCATTAAATTAATATGCGGAAATAACAATTAAGAGCAAATTTATATATATATATATTTTTTTTAACGACTATAGTTACCTCACGATTTAATAGTGCACAATTATACAATAAACCATAACCACCTGGTTCATCAACAAAATTTTCAAAAAGAACCACTAAACAGTCATAATTTAAACGAACCATATCTTATCACAACTTCAAAAAAAGGTGATAGTAAAAACAAAAAATTAGATTATACTAAAAATAAAATACAAACAATGACAAAAGGTATATTATTACCAAGTGAAAAAGGGGTGGAAGGGATTGTCGTTTTTGAGAAGGGTTTAAAAAAAAAAAAAAAAAAATCAGGGATATTTTTAAATAATTGACAAATCTCCAAAAAGGGTTTAGTTTTGTTTTATTAAGATTCTTAATTTGGCTCGTTGATCACTAAATCGATTGGATACTAATAAATTTTTAAATCTAAAATCAATGAGGTGAAAATCAATAGATTTCAAAGTTATTTAAGCATAATATTGCTATAAGGAAAGATTTTCTCGTCGGGTCCTTTCCTGATTTGTTTAATTTTCTACTCAAAATTTCACAACAAAATAACATTTTATCATTAAAATGTTTAAAGAATCCCAGAATCACGAGTTTGTAACACAAAAACAAATTCGCCAATATTACTATTACAAAAAGAATAAAGAATACGTCATAACAGTCCCCATTTTTCGTGGCGTAGTAAATACGGCTATGTTTGCCAAGAAAAAATACTTTTTTTCCGACAAATAATGAAGGACCCAATTTCAAAATTACTATTCGAACCCAAATTTAGATAAGGTACGGACTCAACGTCGGCGCTCTGCACGTTTATTATACAGATTTTCGTTATCGTTACAATAAATTTCGAGGGAATATCTATCGAAAAACTTGAGAAGCGTTTAATCGATTCCTAGCATCGATTCTAATGTAAAAAAAGACTCGGATAAAAATCATGAAATAACGATCTTACTATTTCTTAGCGACCTACAAATTACGCATTAGCATTCTGTTTCAACAGGATCAAAAATGAAGTTTCTTGTTTAAATATTTAACCGATTTCCAAATTGATCATTTATGTAGTCCAAGAATATTTGTTTATTTAAAAATTTTTTTTTCTTTCTAATCGATTAAAATTTTAATCCGACCTTTTTTAGATCCGATCCGATCCGATCTGATACCAATGTTTTATATTTATCTAAATCAATAGAAAGAATCATTTAAATTAAATACTTTTTATTGAAAAAGTCAAAATTGATTATATTATCTTTTAGATTAAAAAATTGTATGTTATTAACTTATTATTAATTTAAACAAAATCATATAATTATTAATTTCTAGATTATATATCATCTAATACAAAATCTATTTATAATTAAAAATGATATATTTTATAAAACAGATAATATTTTCATGTAATATATTTAAAATAATCAATTATTTGAAATTCTAAAATTCTAATATTATATTATATAATAATTAAAGCAAATAGATATTGAACATTTTAAAACAAAATTATTTAAAAAATACTAATAAAACTTTTATATAAAAAAAAAAAAAAAGGCAATCTAAATCAAAATATATTATTATATAAAGTTTTACAACAAACTTAATATATAGCCTATTTTGAAGATAACAAATTGATCTTATTTAATGGTGCTAATTACCTTTAACTTTATGATAGCAAAAAAAAAAATAATAAATATTCTAGGCTGAAGGTAAGAATAAATCTAAATTATGCTACTTTTTTTGAGATTACAAAAAATTCAACAACATTTATTTACAAATAAAGTGAATATAGGTATTTTTATTATAAAATATATTATTATATTGTAAAAGAAATATGAATATAAATATGACGAAAGCATCATATTCGTCTACGATGTATATTTCATTGACAGGTGCATGCTTAGAAAGTGATAAACGCCCTATTCAAGTAAGGTAAATCAGCTTTTTTGATTTTTTAAAAAAAACATCGGTACTTGTATAAGCATAACGAACAATCAAATAGCAAATTATTGTAATTTTGAGCTATTCTCATCATCAGACTGGTCTAGAGGAATATAATTAGTTAGATATCATGTTTAATTAAATAGTCAGAATAACAGATATACCGATAATAGCTTCTCAAGGTTGTCGTTTATTGTCGGAAATATTTGGTAGATGCATTGCCAACAATTTAATATAAACATCAACGAGATTTCCACGTTCATTTTCCTGCTTTGAGAATTTCGTTGTTTTCGTGATTCGTTTTCAATTTCTCCACTAGTTAAGAATTAGCTATCTCAATCCACTATCACGTGACCTGATCCGTTGGTAATTAATACGGATATCAAAAGACTAAATAATATTATAATTTTCCCAACGGCCAGCACCTGATTAAATTCCCTCTTAATTCCAGTAAGTGATATAGAAACACAGTAGTATAATTGAAGAATTGAAGATATCCACTTTTGCCTGAGAAAAATTCTTCTGATGAATTATTCCGTCCTTCATTATAGTCTATTTCTTAAACCATAATAACTTCGTTTTGAAGTGACTGACTCAAGATGTTATATCGAGAAAATTGAATTGATGACCTCTAGATTAGGAAGCGCGAATAAAAATAAAACGTTGATTGATCTTCACGCGATTTTTTACTATTCTTTACAAATAACTTGAATTCAGCAATTATCGACCATTCCTATCAAAGAGCTTTCAAGTTCCCGTTATATAAAATTATAAAAATTAATATATTATGAACCAGCGTCATGTAAATATCATAAATTGACTTACCGGTTCAAATTTATGATCCAATCTTTAAAGAATTCAACAATTTCTTTTTTTATGAAATGTCTCTTTATTATCTGAATAACCTTAGGGCTGCTTTCTTTATCCCATAAAGTATAGCAGTGGACTTACTGATTCTTTCAAACGTTCTCACTAACGCTTCAATAATATCTTCTTTGCTATCGGAATAAGAAATTTAGGATTAGGACATTCCATTCAGTATGATCATAGTTTTATCAACGTAATGATCAATCCATAATATAAAGAATATTAAAAAAAAATAAAAATAAAAATAAAAAAAAGAGGTTGTTATGATAGTCTAATTCCAAAACTGCTGACATATGGAAGATAATTATGAAATCAGAGCTGTAACGATGGAAGAAAGAGCATTGAAACCACAAGTAGCGAGTTATAATGGTTATCCGGTCCAAACATCGGTTGAAGGGCTAGACCATACGGGTGTAGATACTTGTTTGTATACTGAATATGAGGCCCAGGAGTAGGCACTAAGAGCATTTACAAATACAATCTGTATAACGAGTCATAGTGATTATCCCGCAACGCTTAGAACCATACTTTATATACTTTATATATGAAAAATGACTTAACTCGTAAGGAAATCTTCTTTGAATGACGCGAGAGGTAACAGTTACGAAATCAGAAGTGATATAATATTTTTGTAAAATCGAGAAGAACGGAAATTTCTGAGCTTATATAACGCGACAATAATAACGGAGTTTTTGAATTGATAATTTATTGGCTGATGAGATTGTGTGACCTGATCAAATAAACTGGAGATCAAAACATTGAATATCTCTAAATAAAGGTAACGCCGAGTGCTTGTTTAAAATGAGGTTTAAATTCCATATTATAATAATTACATTTTGTAATTATTTACAGCTTGAGTATAGTTCACACGATGGGCAATGAAAGCTGCTAAAGTTTATTTGATTTAAAAAATTCTAAATCAGAAACAAAACTAAATAGAATAAAATAAAATAAAATAAAGTTAATTAATAATTTAATTTAATGTTATATAATTCAATAATTAATTTAAAAATTCATTTACCAGTTTGCATTATTTAATAAAAAGGGCAATAATTTCAAAATTAAAAACTGCTATCCAATCTTAAAATGTCTTTACTAAATCACAAACTGCTTTACTATTATCCAATTTTTTTCTTCAATAAAAAATGGTATAATATGTAAAATATAATCACTAAACCAACGCGTTTTTACTGATAATAATGGTAAAGTAATATTAAGATTAGAATTTTCTACTAAAATTTCAAAAAAGGGTAGTAAAGAAGGATTATTAATAGTATTTGTAGAAAAATAGCTAATCTATCTTCTTTTTCTTATTGAACTATAAATAAAACTACCTTTAATATTTGAAGTAATGGTATTAAGGAGTTGAAAAAAAGGAAAATCTATCTAATATTTTCAAGTAAATTCATAATATATGCAAGACAATTGTTATGTTTCAATTATGGCATAATTAGTAATAATTTTTAAATATTTGATTATATAACTGGCATTATCAGTAATAAAAAGTAATATATCATTAAAAGAATTTGATATTTTTAAAGTGAAGATAAAATTATTTGTAATATTGTTATATTATTTACTACAATAATATATTAATTTTATTTAATTCTTAAAAGTAAAATTACATTAACTGCTACTTTTTACAAGTATTGATAGTTTTCATTTATAATAATACATATTTTTTCACATTTAATTTTTCAATTTCTTGATTATAGACTTTTTAGTAAAATTTTTTCACATAATTAATTAATAATTATTCACTTAATAAATTATAATAAATAATTAATAATGATAATAAAATAAAATAAAAATTAATAATCAATGATAAAACATACTATTTTTACAAAATTTATAAAAAAATGCCCAATTTATTAACATTTTTAATGAAATATATCAGTAAATTTTTTGAAGTCAATATCTATAAGAATTCCTCAAATACATTTAACTTAAATATTTATGATTTTATAAATTTCTTAAAATCCTTATTACTTTTTAAGATATATTTAAAGAATTCATAAAATTATTGATTTTTAAGAATTTCTAATTATAAAATCTTTGATAACTAATTAAACTTATAGTCTTAGATTTCACATTATAAAAAAAAAATTTTTTTTCTCTTATAAGTTTTTTTTTTAGTCAAATTAAAATGAATTTTAAGGTATAATTTAAAGTAAAGTATTTTATTTTTATTTCTATAGTGCAAATAGTCTAAAATTACTACTTTTTATTATATAACTTTAAAAGAATAAAAATGATTAAAGATGATACTGCAATTAGTTGAACTATATAATGCTTATTTATTCAGTTGTAATTAATTGCAATTCAATTTTTATTAATATTGCAAC